GATGGATGGATGGATGGATGGATGGATGGATGGATGGATGGATGGTATTTATCATGCCAATCTAAGACAGACTTGTGGAAAAAAAGTTTAAATCAAATAATAATTCTCATGGTTGTTAAATCGAATCATGTCCATCTTAATGTGCCTACATCCATCATTGTTATTTCCCAGATTACCAGTCTGATGTGTTTCCGCCTTTTGTCATTTTCCTGAGAACAAATGCATGTCGACACTATAATGAAGATTTCATGTGATACGATGTTTGATTTGTTGAGCACTGATCCTTCGTCTGACCCTCTTAGGCACAATAAAACATAATTGTTTCACATCCCAATAGTGGTTTATTTGACCACATTGCATAACATGTGACAGAGCTTCAGTTAATACCGTTGGAAAGAGGAGATGAAGCATATCAGGACTTTTGGATTGAGATCATGTACAAAAGGTGTAATAATACGACTTTGGGCAGGAAATTAATAGCAGTTTGAATGCATAAGACTGATTTTGATGCAAGGATTTTAGGTTCTTCCTGTGGAGATGGTTTAATCCGCTTAGTATTCTCTTTGAAACCTTCAATGTTTAAGATTTTCCCCTTACTTTCTCAGTTGTCTAAAACTGGAATAAAAAAGAGAGAATTTTGTGCAACGCAAGAAGATCAGGGGACACTTTAAATGGGATTCATAATAAAAAATGTTCTAAAATAAATTTGGAACAAATGAAAAATAGAGTATCCACTGGCAAAAAGGTTCAAACCAAGATTATTTTGCCCCTTTGTCATTTTATCTTTATAAAACATAAATAGTAGGGATATAAAACAAATAGAATAAAACAGCTTGTCCTTCTTTTCCACTTGGGGGGTTCAAATTCACTTGAAACATGTCCTTTATCAGAGGTCTGGGAGATTGAGGGTATCTTAGCTGTTCCTGTACCCTTCTGGGCAGAAATCTCTGATTGTTCCTGGGATATGTTGAAATCACTCTTCCAGTTTGGGAATCACAGCAAAGTGCTCTAATGATCACTGGGACTACTGACGTCTTGACTCTCCACAACTTATGTGTTTCTGTTTTCAGACATTGGTATTTCTCATGATCCTTAGTCCTGTGGGATTGCTAAATCTATCACCACTGCCTTTTTCTAAAGCTTGTTGACCACTACAATGTCCGTGTCGTTAGTCACCACTTTTATTATTTCCTTCATTGTCCTTCACAGAAGTGCTGTAAAGCCAGAATATATATATCCATCCATCCATTTTCTTTACCCATTTATTCCATTTTGGGTCAAGGGGGTTACCGGTGCCCATGTCCAGTAATCACTGTGCAAGGGGTGTGGCACACCCTGGACAGGCCTCCAGTCCATCACAGAGACATATAGAGACATTCACTCTCTCACCTAGGGACAATTTAGAGTTACCAATCAGCCTAACATGCATATTTTTGGTCTGTGGGAGGAAACCGGAGAACCCGGAGAAAACACATGCATGCACAGAGAGAACATGCAAACTCCACCCAGAAAGGCCCCCGGACCGGGATTTGAACTGGGAACATGCTCGCTGAGAGGCAGCAGCTCTACCAGTTGTGCCACCGTGCTGCCTTGTGAAATACATAGGGAGACAATCTTAGAAACAAGTGAGAAACAAGGTAGCATTCCTTTAAACCAAGAATTATACAATTTCATGACAAGTTCTCAAAAGACTATATCCACCCCCCCTCCCCCCACGCACACACACACACACACACACACACACACACACAAAAAGAAGGTCCAATTACCTAAACGTACCAGTAATTTGTTTACACATCAGGCTGTTGGCAAAGATAGAAATACAGTTTCCGCTAAGATATTTTTCTCTGATAAATATCTCAGTATCTGTTTGTTGTCCGTCCAGCTTGAAAACTTCATACAGGAGAATGTTCGCTCTGGTGTGGAAGAAATTAAGAGATCTACCGTGCACACCCAGACAGCTGCCATGCTGGAGATGGGAACCAACCTCCTTAGTCAATCAGCAGAGCAGACTCGCAAACTGACAGATGTTGAGACCCAGGTGAGTCTGTTAGAAAGGTAGGACCTAAGAGTACCTGAGATAACTTGTTTACAGCCAAGCTAAATTAATATCTGTGTCACACTCAAAGAAAACAAACAATATATTTTCATTTTTTGGAAACTACTTTGGTGAGTAGCTAATTAAACAGATGTAACCTGCTGGGAAGCCAAGCTCAAAGGTGGCAACAGCTGCTTCAAAGCATCTGGTATTTGGTTCTACAGGCTCTGATTGACACAATGAGTCAAGTGTAGTGACTGACAACAAGCCAATTAAAACATAAAACTCAGCACCACAATCCAGATGTGTCTTCAATCATGCCACAGATTTGTTATTACAGATTGGGCTGTTTGGTCCTGATGCTTTCTTTTTCTCTTATCAAAGTCAATATTTTTATATTGACTGCAATCTGTACAAATATCCAAGCTGCTACTTTGTTCCAGTATTTTTGTTTCATCTGCAACTTCAAAAAACATGCCAGGGGTGCATATGAGATCACTCTTGCTTAAGTTTTGATTACAAGATCAAAGAAGGTAAATTATGGGATTTGCGATGCGTCAAATAACACTATTTATTCCCGAGGGTCCATTTTTTTTTTAAGAAATCCTTCACTGAACAGCCTTCTCATTCATGTTTCTGTCTGTATATCATATGATGGAATTATTTTATCTATTCTTTTTTATTATTATCATCTATAGGTGTTAAACCAGACAAGTCGCCTAGAGATCCAGCTGCTTGAGTACTCACTCTTTACCAACCGTCTGGAGAAACATATTCTCCTCCAGACTCAGGAGATCTCACGCCTCAGCGATAAAAACAGGTAAGTGCACCTAAATAAGTGATGCAGCAGGGTACTTCATTAGAGCAAAACTTCTTCTGTGGAAGGATTTCAGTTTTAGGTTCATGGTGAATTGATAGGTGGGTGACGTTAAAATGATGTTGTGCCAAATAGTTATTATTAGTTAATACCTTATAAATGTGGCATCAATGACGCAGCACAGCATATAAGAAAAAGAACATAAGTCTCCCTCCAGGCTATGCTAATGAATAATCAAATGTCACAAGCCACAAAAAAAAAAAATCTCTAAACTTCAGCCTCACTTTTCACACATGTATGATAGTTAAAAAAAAAAGTTTTATAGGCCTAAACATATATTAAAAGATTCCCAGTTTGGCTTTCCATTAGCCTAGCCTGGAATAAATAAATACATAAATAGATAAATAAAATAAAAATGCATTTGCCCTTTTTTCCATGCCTGGTGTTCTGTGACCAGTGTCAACACTTATAAGGTTGATAAATATCTGACACATGGCACTTCAGAATTCACCAGGCTGTCCCTTAAAAGTGATTTTAGCATGCGTAGGCCAAAGATTAACCACATGATCAGTTTTAAGGATTAAAAGGCCATGTTGTACTTTGTATTGCTATGGTTACACTTGTTCTTCACTTCCCCAAAAACACCTGCACCTAAACTATATTTGTTTTCTTAAACTCTGTTACTTACATTGCCATATTTTTTCAGCCTTTTCACGTTACAAGCTGGGAGCTTATGTAGCAGACAAATTATGCCTCATCCTTTGCACCAAAGAGCAGGGAAAAGCACATATCCTACTGAATATATATATATATATATATATATATCAATCAACCTTTATTTATACAGGTAAATCCCATTGAGCCTCGAGGACTCATTTACAAGAGAGACCTGATTTCAACAAAGAAAGATGACAACAATGGACAACAGCAACAACAATAAGCAGTTATAAAAACTCATACTAGTTTTTTTTTTTTTTTTTTTTTTTTTTTAACAAATAGGATGGCTAAAAGGAAAAAGGTAACGGTATATATATATATATATATATATACTATGTGTAAAATCATGTACTTTTTGCACATTTTTAGGAACAAAGGGTCATTGGGGTTGTGGACAGTGTGAAAGGGAGCAAGTGTTTTCCTTTTTTTGATTGTTTATCATTCTATCCATCTGTACCATGTGTGACCAAGGGAGATCACATTGCCCCAGGAATCAGCACCTGTTAGACATTTTGGTCCTCCATAACCCTACTCTGCCCTTTAATCCTTGTCAGGGGGGGTGGCATGGTGCTGACATCCAAACAAATACTTACATCTTATAAGGGGGTAGACTCAGCAATGAATTTCCCAAAATCTGATGCAGATTTCCAGCCAGGCAGCTGTGGAATGAAAAAAGAAATAGGGGCAGCACGACTTGTGGGATACTTCAGCTGCTGAGTCTTCGGGGCATGAGGCAAGTTTTTGAACTGTAGCCAAGCTAAAAAAAGGCACAGAGTCGTGTTTGTTTTCAGAGGAATTACATGTAAAAATTTGGCAGGAAGTACAGCACACTGCAAAGTCACGGCGAGCAGACTACTAGCGTTGTATATGGTGTGAATTAGGGTAATAATACCAAATAACCCAATATCATAAACATAACAGAGTGATAGCACAGGATGCAATGTAATCCTAGAGGGCTTATTTGTTCTGTCAGCTGCCCTAACTGTTTAAACAGTGCTCCCCTGGTTTTATGCCACGGTCCACACTTTGACTGATCCTCAAAATAAAATACACGCAGCCATGAACAATTTGTCAGCTTGCTTTACAACTTTAATTGACTATTTCCCCTACAAAGCAAATACAAGCTGGTAGTGAAGTGGAAAAAAATGATTTCGATTGATCCGCCATTCTTTCCAGGCCACATACTCAGTGGCTTGATAAAGTGGAAGATTGAGGATCCATCGTTCACGTACAGTCACTGTGTGTGTGCACAGGGCTCTGGAGTAGTTTGTTCAATGTGGGGTGGTTGGATTGTTTCAATAAATAACTGCTGCAGAGCCATTAGTCAAAGCCATAAAGATCAAGCTTCAAGGATTTATGGTCTTCATTTAGAGGCTGGTGTGTGTCTACTACAGACACATACACACACATATAAAGACACACACCAAGACAGACACACACTGTCAGGTTGTTGCCTCCTGGTTATGATTGAGCATCTTAACATGCTGGGCCATCTGTGAGCACTGCTGTGGTACAGGTGTTATACGATGTTAGCCCAATGAGACTGTTGTGATGATGTCTATTAGTCATCCTCATGTAAACGTGTAACTTTGTGTATCCACAATGAAAGTGAAGTGTTGAATTAATAGACTCAGCACATACATACTTCTTTTATATGTTGCAGTGAACAGCTTAGATTATATATACTGTATATATATATTTAGTGCAAGGAATATTATACATCTTTTTCTTTTCCTTTCTTAGTTTTTTGGAACAAAGGCTTTTGGCGCTGGAGGCTCGGTATGGAAAAGAGCTTCTGGGTTTGCAGAATGAAAAGCAGCAGCTTCAAGATCTTGTGGAGAGGCAGAGTCAACTTGTCAGTCAGCTTCAGGGCGAACTTGGAAGCTCAACACTCAACAGCACTACACTGCAGAGACAGCAGGCTGTGCTCACAGACACCGTGCAGCAGCTGCTCACTAAAGTCAGTCAGTGCAACGGTAAGGACAAATCTCACATGTGGGTGATCTCAGGACATAATCCCTACAATAGACATTTACAACATCTAGATTTGTCATCAGACTCCACTAGTTTTAAAATTTCTCTGGGATACTGGTTTATTTATTTTTATTGTTTATTTTTTTCAGAAATTCCAAACGACCCCAAGGAGTCACTTACTTTCAGGGACTGTGCAGAGATCCTGCGATCTGGAGTGAACAAAAGCGGAGTATATACTCTACGCCTGTACAACACGACTCAGGATGTCCAGGTAGTCAAGCAAAAACACTATAGGACTAGACCCTCTTGAGAAACATTCACTTGCAAAAAAAAAAAAAAAAAAAAAAAAACCTTTTAAAATCAATATGTACATTTCCCATCTTCAAGGAATAACCAGAACTAAAGCTCTTTCAATCTTTAAAGGAAGGCATATCACATGCTACCATTAATGCCAGTGTTAAACTATAGCTGTGGTTAGAGCAGTTGTCTTCCAATGGGAGAGTTGGGGGTTCGATTCCACCAGCAGTCACATGCTGAAGTGTCCCTGGGCGAGACACTGAACCCCTCATGGCTTCTGAGGTGTGTCCCATTGGTGTATGCATGCGATAAAGCTCTGATTATTTTTTGTAGAGATCTAGTAGAGTGCTGTATGAAAGGGTAAATGATTGCACAGATTGTAGTGTAAAGCACTTTTGAGTATTTTTATAAGGGTTTAGCGTTTACACCACTCTCATCGGAACTCTTACAGTTCTTCTGTGTGTGTCCTTGGACATGCTCACCGCCCTTGCGTCCCCCCTCCCCAGCGGAATATCGGCATCACTATGTGCTTGTGTGTGAAGTTTTTTTTTTTGTTTGTTTGTTTCAGGCTATCTATCTTTGGCCAAAGATTGAGATCCTGTTAGGATTTTTTTTTTAAACCAAATCCTATGTTGTCACTTTCACTATTTTATTGTCTGTCCAAACAGGTCTCGCTTGTAAAAGAGTCTTCGAGGCTCAATGTGATTTATCTTTATAAAGATTGAATTAAAAAATAAATAAATGAAAATTGAAGGTAGAAAGGTGCTATAGAAATACAGTCCATTTATCATTTAAACTAAGATCATCTTGTGATGAAAAAATGTCATAGATGTTTTAGGTTAAACCATATAGATTAGGTTTTGCACAACTTCATGGTATATTAATAAAAACAAACACTGTTAACTCTATCATTGGTTTATCATCTTCCCTGGGATGCCAGTAAATAGAGACAGAGGACCTCCATATTAATAATCAAATAATTTGCCTCACCAAGTAGGTCCTCTTAATAAATTATGTAAATTACTTATTTACTGAGCTTGCTGTGCATTGTTTTGTTCTGTGTATTTTTAAACTGTTTTGACAATTTTAAATGAAATTTAAAATTATTTTGAGTAAAGCGTTCTCAGTCTTTTACTTATTTCCTGTCATGGTGCACTCCTGTCGGCATTACCGACCTGCGTTCATCCAGCAGATTGGAACATGTCCAGTGATTCGAACAGCTAACTCCATTAGAATTTCCTATTGGTGTCAAATTTTCTGCCCTGCAGACATATTCAAGTGGTTTTAGCACATTCATATGACTCCAAACATTTGACCTGATGTGAGCTCAAACACAGAATTAGCTGCAGCAAAATGTTCTGTGTTGTGGAGATAATCTGTTTAATTCCATTTTGAGCAGATAGAGGGGACCAGAACAGAAAACTGAGGAGGAAAGACAAAAAACTGGACTTTTCCAAACATTGTATTTAATCAAGTCTGTGGCGATTGTATTCACGTGTGGTTATGATAGGTAAGAGCAGTGGATGTGTAATTAGAAAACTATTGGCTCAATCCCTGGTTGGAACATTTATTTGAGTCTGTGATGATATAATCCTAATATTATTTCTTTAGTTTTTTTTTTTTTTTTAGAAAATTGCAAAACTTTTACAGATCTAAACAATTTTGAGGGCGAGGGTTCAGCAATCTCTCTCATGTTACAAAGACAGTTGCGTGTTGCGTTAATTAATTTTGTCATGCATTAATGAGGCAGCTGTGGCTGAGTGGTTAGAGCAGTTGTTCTCCAATAGATGGGAGTTTGATTCCACCAGCAGTCACCTGCTGAAGTGTCCCTGGGCAAGACACTGAACCCTTTGTTACCCCAGATGTGTGTCCCATCAGTGTTTGAATGTGATAAAGCACTGATTAATCTTTGTTGAGATACAGTAGAGTAGAGTGCTGTATGAATGGATAAATGAGGTCACAGATAAGAGTTTTGAGTATCTTGATAAGATAGAAAGGGGCTATATAAGTACAGTCCATTTACCATTTAAGGTGGTCAAATTATCCCTGTTTCGGGTAAAGGCGGATGGTGTGGGAGGCGTCCATTACTCTGATTTATTAGACGGGACTGTTTTCACAAGACACAACCTCGACTTGTGGGAGCAGTGTTAGGCACAGCTAACAAAAATATTTGCTTTGCTAACCCATATTCAGCTAACAAAAAAAATGCTGCACTAACACTAAAGCACTTAAGAGGAAAAATAAATAAATAAATCAAATAAAAGTAGAGGAAGCTAATACTAAACCACTAACCACTCAGAGCACTGTCACTCAGTTTGTGTCACACAGTCTTCATCTCCTTCCAGTTGAAGCTGCATCAACCAATCACGCTTTGTCATGAGTATACATATTAAGCCAATAGCGTGCCTTCAGCTTGCGGCGGTTGTGACATCCAATCACGTCTTGTTACGTAAATATGTAATAATGGCATGAATAATGGACTCCTCGAGACACGCCCACAACAGACAGGAACAAGCATGTGAATTTGTTTAGTGGACTTAAAGTTAGTGAAAACTAATTTAGCAGAACATAATTACGTTAACGGTTTTCAAAATTAGCAAAAATGCTTATAAGATAAAATTAATAATTAATTATGCTATTAACTGTTGTGGATTAGTGAAAATGTGCCCAACACTGTGCAGGAGAAAGACAAAAAAGGTGATGAGTTTGTGCACAAAAAAAAAAAAAAAAATCCCAGAAATGTGTCCTTTATTTATTTTTAACAACAGAAAATGTAACACAATTTGTTAAATATGTGTGGTTAGTGATTCAGGAAATGAATGTCTGCCACATTAATTTTATAGGCCAGGAGCTACCACTGATGTCAACAGTGTTAATGCTAACAGTGAACATCAATGGTTTTAGCAAATATCACATGCAGTGTGTTCTAGAATGATTCTAAACGTTAATATGTGGTAGATGATAGACATTCATTAAGATTCATCCAATGGTTCATGAGGTATTGTTTTGAATTACAAATTAAATACTTTTTTTTTTACTTTCTTTTTACTTTTTTGTATGTATTTCTAATGGAAGTGCGATGCACTAAATAAACGCAATAGTCAATTGATATTTTGCTAACAGACAAACATGAGTTATTGAAACTTTTGAAGCAAGATTGTAATCAATCTTGCAAAATCAGAATCGCCTGCAGTAAGTGTTGTACTGTAAATTATTATAAAAGTCATGCACAACATGAAGTTCATTCGATTTATTTTTATCATATACATATCTGACATGTCTCATTAATATGTATGCGTCATGTTTAGGGAAATCTTCAAAAGTGACATAGGTTGTGTTTTTCCACATCATAAAGGGCTCAGGGGAATGAGAAGTTAAAGACCATTGGCCTTTTCCTACAAATATCACCCGACTGACATTGACATGAAGCTTTTGTGTGCTCTTTTCTCCTGCAGTACTGTAAATTACATCGGAACAGGTTTCACTCCCTGTATTAAAATCACAGATTATTTTATACAAATGTGGTTAAAAAAAAAAAAGAAAAAAAAAGAAGCACTTATGAATACATCTTAGAAAGAAAGAAAGAAAAAATCTAGTGTAATTTCAAGGTAATTAATGACGGCTTTGTTACAGAAGTACATACAGATGCCACGCTGAGTTACAGAGAGCAAAAAAATAATAAGCTACAAGAGCATAATGCCCGGCAGGCTTCGCAGTGAGCGAGGGTGTGCTGCTGAATGCAAAATCAGAGAAGCCTCAGAGGAACCTCCAGTGATCTGAAGGAGCTCTGGCCTCTGCTAACTCAACCATGACATCCACCAGCAGGCTATCATTTCTGCAAATCACATCTAGCCTGCTTGGATTGGATCTCCACTCTCACTGCTTAGCAGGGGGTGGGGGAAGTAACCGTAAAACAGCATTTTTGTTATGCATTACTTTTAGTCTAGTTTACTGTTGGCAGCGTCTCCTTCTGCCTGCTGTTTCCCCCACTGCTCCTTTTATTCATTTCCTTTGGGCAGACAGGTGTTCGGCACCAGTGCCGTGCATCTCCTGCCAACCGAGGGCCAACGTACGTTCCCGTTGATACCAGTTAGTACTCCCCAAACCATGGCTGCTTTCAATATGTGCCAGTTCCAGTGTCAGTACAAACTCCAATGTGGCTGGCAAGCAAACTGGCCCATTTTCTCAGCAGTGGGCATTCTTTCCTCAGTGTTTAACCAAAGACCAAGGCATTCCACACACCATTTTTTTTTTATAAGAATTTGCTATTTGAGAAAATTTGCCACCCACCTATTCATAATGCCTCTGCTGTTTGTCCATCTGTTCTTTTTGAAGTCATGTAGACTTTTGTAAATCATTTTGATGACTAAAATTGACAAAATTATCATTTTGGACTAACCTCCTTATACAATGCCCACAACACTTTTATGTAAGAGCTACATATTCTTGTATGGTTTCATGTAGTATGCACAGTTTTTCTTGAAACAAATATAGAGTGGTGTTCTTCAAGGTGGTGGGCGATAACGTATTGTGACTCTCTCTTATCTTTTCACTGAAACTCAGAAAACAATAATTTGCTGCTGAGTTGATTGTGGAGTAAACCTCATCTTCATAGATAATCAACTTTTTTTTTATTTTATTTTGTGTGCGTTCAGTCAAAGCAGATGTATTTGCAGATGTGGGTTTGTTTTGCAAGGGGTTCTGTGTGTTTAAATGCGAGTGTATGTATGTGTGTACATGGGTAGGTATATATGTATGTAGGGATGCACAGATTCATATTGGTGTTGATGTTGATACACCCTGTGCAATGGTTTTAACATGTCTGGAATTAATCAATAAAATAAAAATAATAAAATAAAATAAATAAAAACCTTTGAAAATACAGACATGGCTATAAATTGACCAATTTTTCTAATAATGACATACATTTTGGCATTATAGCTGTATGGAGTTGTATACACATACACCTGTTGGAGTTGTATGTGTTATGACATGCCTCACATAATATATATAGAGCTAAAAGTAGGTAATTGACTTTTGGCTGTTCCCTTCTTCAGGGATTGCCACAGCGAGCAAACCCGCTTGAAATATTTGGCTATTGTTTTATACTGGATGCATTTCCTGATGCAACCTGGGCTGGAACCCACAACCTATGTTAAGAGCTAAAAGTTAGTGCAATCATTTCAAAATGGTTCCTTTAAGTATTAGTCACCCTCGTCTGTCTGTGAAAAAAAAACAAAAAAACCTCAAGAACCAGTGCTTGGATATAAATTTAAATCTCAGAAACAGTCATTGGATGCACAACTACACCTGATTAACTTTTGGAGTTAACTCGATTTAAGATGGCAACCACAGTTTTTTGACATGGGCAAACAGTAAAATGGTTATAGTTTTTTTTTTTTTTTTTTTTTTTTTTTTTTCAGACTTTAAGTAAAAAAAAATATATATATATTATAATAAAAAAATATTTAGAGCTTTAACATATTTAATTTGTTTTGGTTAAAACTTTGGCATGCAAGGTAGTGAATGAGATCATTTAATTTATTCATTCCAATATTCCTAGTTTGTTTCAAAAAGCATTCTTGGAAAACTGTAAAAAAAATAAATACAAAATAAATAAAACAAATGCATTGTCATGTAGGTGTAAAATATTTAATTACTGGTAAATATTTGAACACTGTATATTGAGCATGAATCAGAATCAATTCATAAACACTGTAAGGAATGGAGTTACATTTAGAACGTTGTGTTTTTGTGTGTGGTGCAATGCCTTAAAGGCTCGAACATTGGCCTTTGTTCCAGACGATAATTGCAGCACTGTGCCAGAACTCTTTGTCTTATTGGAGGTCAAAGAACAAAGTGTCTTTTGACCTTGACAAAACTTTTCATGTCTGGGAAAACGCTGAACGATATCTTCTTTCATGTCTGACTGATGTCTAGCTGGTGAGAATGGCATCATGTGAGTGTTTGCAACACATTTTAATGCTATTCAGAGTGGTCTATTTTAATTGGAAAGAAAAAAGACAAAATATGTATTTTTTTTATTTATTATTATTATTTTTAATCAACAATCATCATATTTCCAGTTTTGACAAAGGTGGTTTAATTCACAAAAAAAAAAAACAACAAAAAAAAAACAGCAGAACTAAAAAAATAAATAAAAGTATTAAAAATTCAAATTGTGTCTCCACCAAACACAACATCCAGTTCTATGGAATTGGTTGTTCACATTTAATAAACATGATGTAAGCAATTAAAATCATTTACTGGTAATTCTGACACCTACTGGGGAAACTCACTCTGCCATTCCATTACCAACATAAGAGGCTGCAAAATGTCCCGGTGAACAACTGAAACATGTCAGACAAAAAGTTTCAAAACCTGTCACAAAATGAATGAGTACAACTTGTTTCCAGTTCTTCCAGACACATATGACAAAATGTGCTGCCAGTAAGAAAGAAAACAGTCCGTTGTAACTCAAACCGCCAAAGCCTCTTCCTCAACCCCGACTCCAGGGATACAACATACTGAGATGTTGGTTTTTCAACCCCACCTGGGTCATATCATTGTGTCACATCCCATGATATTTGGTTTCCCACTCATTTTCCTAAAGCTTCTAAAGAAGCTTTTAACTTATGGAGGGGATATTATTTGATTAGTCATTTTTTAAGTCAATACGTTCCCCTATCTCCAGTTATGTAAAAAGTGATCTTTTGATACTAATCCCTGTCTAATACACTCAGAACTGATTAAATCAGAACGTCTGATGACTCAAAAAAAGAGAAAATATGCTGCGTGATGAAACTAAAACTTTGTTATTGTCACCAGTACTTAGTTTTTAAACACAACAGACAGCTCAATGACCTGCCCAACATTTAACAATCAATAAGGACAGTTTAGGTTTTAGCTCTAAAGAGACAGTTTATTCATCTACTGGAACAATAAAATATCTGAACAATATTCACCATCTGTAACTGAACAGATTCTGTATTAGTGTTGCACTTTTTCTGAAAAGAGAACAAATGATTATGGTGAATAATTGGTATAAAAAATATTGTCCCAACAATATATTGTTGCTCAAGCTGTAGGTAGGACAGACAGCAATGGGAAAAAAGTACACATTTTTATTTTATAGTCTTTCATAGCATGGCACTTTTTTAAACGTTTGTTTTTTGTTTGTTTGTTTACGTAAAACAACAAAAAATTATAATTTAAACACAAGCCTCAATTGTACAAAACCACAAAATTGATTTAATTGTTTACTAACCAGAATCAAAGTGCAAAAAAAAATTAAAAAAAAACTGTTGTAAATGAAGTCCGACCCATTGGTAACTTGTACATCCAGGTTTAGCAGCAATACCTGGAAGTATTTGTTTCATGTGTGATCCCCAGTCTCTGTAATTGATAAGGACTTGTCTTCCACATTGTTGCAACATTGCTTCAGTAAAATGAGGCTGAAAAAATGTTCTAAGTTCAATCAGCCAGGTAGATAACACCTAAAAAGTTTAAATTGTGTCATCTGGAGCAGTTTCTTAAAGTGAGAAATGCGTTGTCCCCCATCCAGAGGACTTCCTCAGTCTACGGTCTGCCAACCAGATATGTCCCACATCTGGGACAGATGTTTTCTTTTCCCATATGTGGGACAGATCTGGTTGACAGACTGATGAAGTACTCTGGATGGTGGACAAAACTTTTCTCACTTAAAGAAACTGGTCCAGATGACATAATTTAACCTATTTTTTTAGGTTAAAATGTTATTTGTCTTAGCATATTTTACTTTTAAACTCCCACCACAGCATTTAATTTGCACTGAGATGTGGATAACACCTTGTTTCTTTTCTTTGTCATCTATTCTGATGTAGATTTTCTGCAGTGTTTGGGATCACTGGCCTTTTCTGACCTAATTTCAGCCACCCGTCTGCTGTCGGACAGTAGAGATGAAGTATATGGCTCTTTTTGAAGGGACCCAGATCTCGACAATCTGTTCGCTTCATAGAGCCGTACAATTTTAAACGACGGTGATGTTGTCATGTGTGGATATACATGATGTATGTCATCAGGGCTTTATACATGTTTTATCAAGTGGGAACCCCCCTCCCCTCCTGAGCTGCTGCGCTCCTCCCCCATACCTGTTTTCCTTCATCTCAGTGGAAAAGCGAAGGATGGATGGTTGACTCTGTGGATGAGGAAGAAAACATGAAAAAAAATTACGAGGAGGAAAATAATGAAACGACTATTTACTGCCTACAACTTGGTTCTTATTTTTTCATGGTAAAGAGCTGTTCAAACAATCCAAACGGTTCACTGATGTCACATCTCTGTTGGACGGAGAGTCTCACATTTGACACTAGCAAACTTTGAGTATATAGAGACGTTTAAGGCTATCTCAGTGACTGCAATGTGTTGAGCTTCTGTGGAAGGAAAACAACGTCCTTTCTCCAACTTGCCTGACAGTTGTTCTCATCTGTCCTAAAGGAAATGTTCCAGAAGTCTTATGGGTCGTCCTGATGCTACTCTGCAAACTTGAGTCATTCTGCCATGTTCTTTTTAGAGAAAAGATGATTTCTCTTGGTGACCCTTACAAATAAGTTATACCAGTTGAGTCTTTATGAAAGACGGTAGTTTTTTTTTTTTTTTTTTTTTTTTGTCAAGAGCTTTAACGATTCATTCAGCATGCTGAAGAAGCTGACCTTCTCTTTTTATTCTTTATATTTGACATGTCCTTCATTTTTCAGGTGTTTTGTGATATGAAGACCAGAGGCGGGGGGTGGACCGTGTTGCAGCATCGAAGGAACGGCTCTGTCGATTTCCATCGTGGATGGAATGACTACAAAATGGTACGCCTCAGCCGTGATGTTTTGGTGCATCAGTAGGTCACGTGGGCCAGTGCTGCAGAACTGCACAGGAGGTTTCAATAATTATCCATGGGTGGTTTGGCATGAGGAGTCATGGGAGACCGGCTAGCCTGTGATCCCATGTGACCCGTGGTTGTTGTATTTGGCTGCTCCACATGTTCTCCGCCACCCCCCGTGTTATTGCACCTGCTCTCGCGCCCTCTCGCCATGTCAAACTCCCACACAGCCTAATACACGGAAATCATGAAGTGCTTTGCACACACAAAAACAAAAAAAAATAAAGCACACACTAGAGATGATAAAGTTGCTCTGGTGGTTTTGGGCTCAGTCAGATGTGTTAAAGCACCAATGGATGTTGTTTTGTTTGGAGTTAAATGATGCTTTTATAAACGTCATCATCAAGTTTCAGTAAAAGAAACAATATTCCAGTTGCTCAATAGAAAACCAACACAAATCCAAAAGGCTGCAAACCTGTCAAAATGCATGAACAAGTATCACAAAAATAACGGTGTGGGTATTTAAATAATTGTAATATAGTGTTTTTCACCCACGCCAACACGTCAACTGCCACTATACAGTTTGTAAATAATATGCAGAGAGGATTATGGATATAAACAGACAGAGAAAGACAAAAAAAAAAAAAAGTTTGAAAACCTTTTTCAAGGACAATATTTTTGCAAGTGGATGATAAACATTTGGCTCCTGCTGGGGCGTGGGAGCACAGGGGCCCTATAGATGGCAGATAGCACATGCACTAAAATGCTTCACTGCTCCTGTTCACACTCAATCCTCTGAAACTGTGCTCAGGCTCAATCAAACAGGCTTCTGGTCAAATGATAAATGCACCACAGCTCCTGCACTATATTTGCTCCTACTCAAGACCAACAGCAAAAAGAAATTGTGACAGCTCGGCTAAGAGTTTAGAGAAATCTAAGTCTAGCTCTGAGAATTTATTACATTTCAACACAGATTTGAATGATTCACTCTCCTTCATTGCAAGACAAGTGATACAACTTGATGTATTTCTTGGCTATGCTAGTAGTAACTTTAACAAATAGTTTTCTGTATGACCTTATCAGTCCTTCATATTGTTGTGCAGGCATGTTGGCCCACTCCTCTTGACAACATTGCTTTCGGTTTTTGAGTTTGATCAAATTTCATTTGAACACAGTTCACTTCAAGTCCTTTGAATTGATCAGTCTGGGCTTTAAATCAGTATTTTAGACATTTGATAGTGGCACTTTGTGGAAATTTGATAAATAATTCATACTTTAGCTGTTGTAGTTGGCCTTGGAACAATCTTGGTTTGGAGCATTAAAGTTCATTTCTGACTAGAAGGATGGGCTAAAACATAGTCCAAGCAGAACCAGTACCAAAGTGGATTGTACTTTTCTAAACAACCCAAATTTTAAAGATTTTACCTCAGTTTATCCATCCAGCCATTATCTTTACACGTTTCTTCCTTTTTGGGTCACGGGGGTCGCCGGTGCCCATGTCCTGCAGTCACAGTGCGAGAGACGAGGGACACCCTGGACAAGACACACGTCCATCACAGACTGCAGATTATGTAAATGTTAATTAAAAAAAAAATGTTTACTCTGCCTTTCATTTAGCATTATAAAGCTATGTGGCTACATTTAAGTCAAACTATCAGCAGGAGCAACCAGTTTTAGTACTTAAGCACTTGGGACATTTTCAACTGAAATACCAAAAAAACTTCTACAGGGATAACTGTAGTGTAATTTTAATGCCAATGAAAAAAGTTCACAAAATAGCATTTGCATTAAATTGCAATAACAATTATTTGATTTTTTTTTTTTTTCAGCATGATATGATGGCAATTGTTTGTTTTCTTTTGACCCTACTCAAACTAGCCATTTGCTTTTCACTCTAGCAAAAACATTTTTTTTTTTTACCAGAGCTATCTACAGTAGGCAAGAATTGTTGTAAGAATTGTTTAGAACTTTTTCAGAAAACCTCTGTAAAATGTATTGTAGACCTAAAAGTAATTTAAAACAATTAAAAAAAATGTTATTTCATGCTAGCTGAGGGTTATTTGCAACACATACTTCAAGTGTTAATACATCTTATAATAGTGTGATACCAAATATAGTTTTGTGGTGCCTATGAATGAATATATTTAACTCAACACATGATAATCTGAGTCTAAAATCTGATTTGAAAGATAACGGGTGATATGCATTTTTTTTTTTTTTTCAAGGAATGCTAGGCCTTTAATTTTTGTTCTACATACATCATAGTTTATGGCACAAAATATTCCCTGCTGATGGAAGTATCTGCTTGGCTGCATTTTTAACAAGCTTATTGCTAAATCCCTTCCAATATAAACATTACCTATGTATTGGAGTGTTAAACAATTTTTGTTTTTCGTTTGTTGCCAGATATTAAATGACAAGTTTCAAATTGATTTCTCAAGTGCATACAAACAATGGATTACTTTGTAAGAGCAGCTGTTATTTAAGCTTTTAGTTTGTTAATGTGGAGATGTTTCAGGTCCAGGTGGATTTTTGATAGGACACCAAGGTAAATTAATGTTTTTGTTGAGTGGTCCCCAGCTTCAGGAGTGGAGAGGTTCACTTTTCAAACTCAGTCAACTGCCTTAACCTATCAGGATGATAAATGCTCCTTATTGCAGTGAGTACTATTTTCCTATTAAGTCCAGAAATATTTGGCAGAGAGCTGAAAAAAAAAATTACCCCCCTTGTTAGATTATTTTCCTTTTATTGTTTCTTTGTCTTTGTGCTTAATCCAGGGCTTTGGAGAGCCGTCGGGGGAACACTGGCTGGGGAATGATATCATTCACAGGCTGACCAGCTCCCAGGAATACAGCCTGCACATCCACCTCAAAGACCAAGAGAGGAATGAAGCCTTCTCACTTTACAATCGCTTCTACATAGACAGTGAGGACAAGAACTACAGGTAATGTGAGAAATTACTTGTTTAAAAAGTGCAAATTGAATTAAAGCTTGGAGCGATGTTATCTTTAGATGTAACAGTTTTTATCTGAACTTTCAAACCACTTATCAAAGCTGCAACATATGAGAAGACAGCAGTTAGGTATGACGATATGTTCAAGCGGTTTTGAGCATTTTCAATATTTCCCGAAAGGATTATGTACAAAACGGGGAGGGTTGAACTGACTGGACAAACAGGCTAAACTCAGTTTTCCTAAATATACATTTTAAAATTAGATTATGTTATGACGTTTATAAGATGTTAAATGTAGACACAGTAAGTGAACAATAAAAAGTTAAGCCAGTCATAATAATAATTTCATTTGTACATATTTAATGATAAAGTTAGAATATAGTGAGGCTCAATAATCCAGGTAGAAAAATCCAACAGAGTTAAGTCAGGTCTTCTGGATGGTTTTGTTTTGTTGAAATGTTTCATCTTTCATCCAAAATACTTCTTCAGTCCTAGGAGCTGCAACAAAATCAGTCTTATAAATATCACCTTCATATAGTGGGTCAACCAGTTTGATGGTGCTCAGATGGTTTCTGGAGTCCACCATCTCCCTCGCCGTCTCATTTGAGGCAGCCAGCCAACGTTTAGCCCAATAGCCAATGTTTCAACAGAAAGAAACCGTCCAGAGGACCTGACTTAACTTTTCTGAACAAAGAATATTATGTAAAAATGTAAAGACAAACAAAATGCAAATGTTTGCATATCTCATAAACCAATGTTGTATTCATAACTAAACAAATGATACATCAAATATTTGAATTAAATGTATATATATATACAAGTTTAAGTGGAAAAAAAAAAAAGCTATGAATTTGGTGGCATCAACACATATCTAATGAATCCAAGGCATGTTTCCACGGTGGAGCATTGTCTCTTTTTTTTAAGAGCAGTCTTTAAATGTCTAGTGAATGAAAAGATGAGTACAGGAGCAGAATGTTGTTTCATTCTTATCTGATGTAGGAATTTAGTTGTTCGACAGCACTTGATCTCTTTCATGATAAATCAAATGTTTTCAGTTGATGAGAGGTCTGGACTGCAGGAAGGCCATTTCAGCTCATGGACTCCAACTAAGAAACCATGCTGCTGTAGTAAATGCAGTATACGTTTTACAAATCTTACTGAAAGCAGGATACATTTTCCTGGAAAATAATGTTATTTGTGTACATTGTGTATGTTTTGTGTTCAGTCAGATTTAAGTTGTAATCTTTAAAAACAGCAGGCTGTTCTACACACATTAAACACATTGTTTGATCACTGACTTAAAAGCAAACGTCATGTAGAAATCTTTGTCTTGTTAAAAAGTTTATGGTATGTATCAGATTGTCTTTTTAACATATGCTTGCATGAGAGTCCATAGCATCTGCTTAGTTGTATAGTGGTTTATGATCTTAGCAGACATGGTGATAAGAAAAAAAAGTCATTATTAACATTAAAACACCACAGTGATCTATGATGAGCTTAAGTAGCAGTTCATACCACCAGTTTCAAAATGTGAACATATTGTAACCTATAGTTAATTATTGTATAGTTAAATGTTGTATAGTTAAATGTGGAATGTAAACTTATCTAGGCTTGTGTTTTTCTCTTTGGTTGACCTTTTGTAAACTGATTGAACCATTTAAAGGGCTATATGTGATTTGAAGGCTGTGGACTGGCCACCAAGTGGATGCTGCCATCCTAAAACAGCTTAAATATCAAAAGTGTGATTGTAATTCATGAGGATTAGCATCAATACATATTTGCACTGCTATATAAATCACATTATATTGTTAATACAGCAAAACTGATATGTCCAAAGTGCATCAGGTTGCAAAAAAAGTGTTAATAATTTGCTGCTGCAGTTCTCTGTCAATAAAAGGGAATTACAAAGCTAATTGTGAAGTAAATGTTTGTAATATAGTGTTCAGAAACAAACAAACAAAACAAACAAACAAAGAAAAAAAAATAAAACATGAAAGATAATGTAATCTATATTGCTCACTGCCAAAGAGCAAAGATGGAGTTTGAAGTCAAAATTATGACTTTAAAAGAACAATGTAGGAACCCACCAGAATCAACTACTCCTAGTGTCTTCAAGAGGGTCCAGGAGAAAGCCTCTCAGCATTCCTCGCTCCCTGAGGGTTCGGTGTCTCCAGTGATTCTATAACCTGCAGAGGGTCCAAAGTCTGCAGAGGGTCCAGAAGTTTCCACACCTCCAGAGGTCCTCAAGTCTCCTGAAGTCCCTGAGTTTCCAGTGGGTCCCCGAGTCTCCAGTGTGTCCCTGAGTCTCCAGTGTGTGTCAAGACTCATGTGGTTCCCAAGACTCCTGTGGGTTCCTAGTCTCCTGTGGGTCCCATGCTTCCTGCGAGCTCCATGCTTCCTAACCGCTCCATGCCTCCCGAGGGTTCTGTGTCTCCCGAGGGTTCCATGCCGCCTTGTGAAGGCTCCATGTCATTTCCTGTGGGGTCCATGCTGCTTCCTGTGGGGTCCATGTCTCTTCTGGTGGGGGCCACGCCGCTTTCAGTGGGGTTCACATCTCCTGATGCGGCTATGCCTCCTCCTACCCCTGGGGTTGCCTCATCGTTATATGTAGCCTCTGTGATCTCCTTGCCAGCTGATGCTTTTGTGACCTCATTGCATGCTACAGATTCAATGGCCTCTATGGTGCTCCCTACGCCAGCAGCTATAGGTTTATCAGTGGTCTTGCCTTCTGGCCCAGTGATGGACGGTCTCCTGTCCCACCCCGCCACTAGAGCTCCTTCCTGGGGATGGACAGTCTCCCGGCCACCTGCCAGAGTCTCTACCCTGTGCTGGATAGTCCCTTGGTCGTCCACCTGAACTCCTTGTGTTTGTTCCCTAAGTTTCCCCCATGTCTAGCTCTCAGGTTCCATCTATGGTTTTTTGTTTTTTTCCTAATGTGTTCCCCTTGTGTCCTCCATCCTTGCGGTTTCCCCCTCCTCCCACCCAAGTTTTGGGGTGTGAGTTTTGGAGACATCAGGGGACGTCCTTGGTGGGGCGGTACTGTGAGGATGGTGCTCTCTTGTGGTCGTCATGTGCCTACACTCCCTGGTGTCCCATCTTTGTAATTAGACTTTCCCTATGTCACCTGTGTGTTCCTCTCCAGGTGTTTGTGGTTCCTTTCATTAGTCTTTGTATATAAATCTGTGTGTGTGTTATTCGTGGTCTGGGCATAGTCTGGTTAAGCCTCCTGAGTCCTTAGTGTTTGCAGTGATTTTTACATGTCCTGTTACTGTGAGTTCTTCTAGCAAGTCAGCTCTTTGTTTTTGTTTATTAAAAGTATTTCTTATTTTACTCTCTGGGTCTCCGAGTCCTGCCTTCACCATTGGGTTCAAACATTACCACCAGATTGTGACACAAGAATTATTAGTTAGTTCTTTTTGTTGTTGTTTTTTAAGATGGTGATTCACTGTGGTCCTTATTCTGTTCAAACTAGCTGTTAGCTCATTAATTAAAACTGAAATTTAGTCAGTTTGTACTAAATTAGGTCAATCAAAGATCTCTATGTAAAATTTATAATACAATAATTTAGGTGTTCTTAATTTTATAAATAAATTCAAAAAGATTGAAGCTAAGCCTTTACAATAAATGACTTGTCTTAAAGTCAAATATAATCAGATTCAGATTCCTACTTCTTTACAGATTACATACCATGGCAGTGGATGTCATGGATGTTTTGTTTCAGCATGTAGTATATTCTACTAGCAACCTTTTATTGTGACATGCACACTGGCAGTACTGTAATACACCAAAAATGGAGCTTGAAATCATTCAAAAACACTTATCACTTTTATGTTCTCTCTTTTCATAAAGTTACAGAAGTGATTTAATTTTTTGAAACATCACACAAAATGAAGAGCTAATTGAAGGGGTAGTAGTATTTTTCCATCCTCCATTTTATTTTATTTTTTGTTGTCTTCCTTTGACATTACAATAGCTACTCTCGCCCATGAAATTCCCCACAGGGAGTCACATCCCCTGGAGTTTAAAAGAAACACTCAGCGATACATGCCACTGGCATGGACGACAACTCAAACAAAACAGTTTTTTTTTTTTTTTTTTTTTTCACATGCTCCAAGCCGTTACAGATCAAGTAAGATATAGCAATATTGCATGAGATTAAGCCTAATGCTATTTTCAAGGCTCAACCAAAATAACTACAACTCAACATAAAATTATGTTTGTCTACTTTGTAAATCGTTGACAAGAAGTGTGGTCAGTGACATGCATTCATTCAAGGAATGCTTGGCCTTTAGATTAGATTTAAAATGAAAGGCAGATATTTGTTCTTGTTTTGTCAATACATTTTAATAAACTGTGACATTACAAATCATAATCACCCATGAATATGTGTGTCTATTTGTGTGTATGCTTAGAAAATTTCCAACAGTGCATCACATAGCATTTCCCAGAGTTTATTCTACATAATTAGCAGGATAAAACCAAACGTATCACAGGTTTGCTCTGGGCTTCCCTGTGGAAGACGAATGAATGTAATTACCTCTGTAACTTGCTACATCTGAGATCACATTCTCCGTTAACTTGTGCAATACGTACCAGCTTTACGTGAACATTAACGACGCTCGCTTGACCTGTGAATTTTTATGTTATTACTCTGGAGACAAAGCCATTGCTCTCTTGCAACTACTCAGCCAGAGAGATTCTCATCCTTCTCTCCCCGGAGCAGTATGGAGGTATTCACCGAAAAGTCACTTAACAAGATTCATACATAAATCATCAGCTCCAAAGATCCCCTTCTCCTCCTTTGAGGTAGCCAAGAATAGTTGTTTAAATAGTTGAGAGTGGTGTGTATATATGCATATATGTATATATATATATACATATGTATATATGTATATATATATATATGTATATGTATATATATATATATATATATATATATATATATATATACCCACCACTAGCTCAACTATCTTGTAGTGTCTCTGAGCAGGACAC